ACCTAATTTGGCGACTTGTTTGACTGATAATTTACTTAAAGCTTTCAACCTATCTTCTTCCGCTTTTAAACTCGCTGAATACGATAGACGTGATAAAACAGCATCTTCCGCATGAGTATCTATAACAATTAAATAACAATTAGTATTAATAAGAAAGAAACAACTATTTTTTACAGGGATAACAACGTAAATTCACAAGGATCCTTTCTACCAGCTGATCCTTGGTCAAACCTCATGACATCGATTTTACAAGGATAACAACTTAGGTTCACAAGGATCCTTTCTACCAGCTGGTCTTTGGCCAAACCTCTTGGTAATGATTATCTGTACCCATTTACAGCTGGGTTGACTGGAATAATGATGAAAGGGGCAGGGTATGGAAACCTGGTGGGGTTAAAATGATTCCTGATAAAGTTACTTCACCTGGTAATTGTCGAACTTCTGATAAACTGTTAAAACTTATCGATCTTCTTCCTAGTATGTAAAAAAAAACTTTCATTTAAAGGGATTGTAAAGAGTTTTTCTATATTTTTTCAGTGTATCAGGGACACTGATAGCATCAATTTACATTATTCTAATTTTCAATCAGACGTCTGTGGTTCTTGTTAAAGAGATTGTAAAGAGGTTTTCTAAATTTTTTATGTATATCAGAGACACTGATAGCATCAATTTACATCATTCTAATTTTCAATCAGACGTCTGTGGTTCCTGTAATTCCACTAAAACTAAGTGTTTAATGTCGTTTAGGCCCTTTAGCTTTTGCAAAAGTGACGTCATTTACAGTTAAGCATTTCTATAATTACAAAAACCACAGACGTCTGATTGAAAATTACGATTAAGGTTTTATTTCAAAGTATTTGAGGTGAAATCGATAGCAAAATTTGGTGATTCTGACAACTTTACTGTTAGCTCTTTTCCCAATTATCGATCTTGAATATCACGGAAATTATTAACACTAACCTGAAGAATCATCAGAATCAGTTCCACTGTTTTTATCATATTTTACTGGGACATATATTGGTTCACTCTGAACAAAAAATATCACATATTAAATCAAGCAATGATACCAAATGAACTGGGCTCTCGGAAGCATTGGCACAGACATCAGAATTTTTCATATCTTGAGGAGGATAAGGGTTAGGTGTTATGGGGTTACGACGACAACAGACCGTCTCTCGTAAGCACTGGCACAGCCATCAGAATTTTTCTTATCTTGAGGGAAAAAAATAAAATATAAACACAATCATTTTGTTTAAGTTGTCAATAATGACACACGTCCGTCCGCCTTCACAGACTGGGGGGTACAAATAGGAGGCAGACTGACTTTATGGGGGGGAGATCTTTCAAGGATGACGTTCAAAATACGGCAATTTTGTGGGCCTGAAAGAGTTCTTTTTTTCAAAATTGATTTGGTGCATTCTGACACAACACATATTTGTGGGTGAAAACAGAAAAAAATTCAATTTTTGAAATGAAGTGGGGATAGAAACTGTTTTTCTAGGGTGGGCAAATGCTGCCCCTGTACCCACAGACGGCCTTGTCCTGTTTCTCAAAAAATCTTACGATCCATTTTTTAATGTAAAATTTCATGCTTTCAACAAAAATTTTAACAACAGTGTCCTCAAAATCTTACAAAATTCTGCCTTCTGTTAAAACAAACTGATAATCTTAGAACAAGGGCAATAACTCCATTTAATATAAATTATAAACTCACTAAATTATCCTCCCTTTCCTCTGTTTCACCATTAATCCGAA